GTTTCTAAATTGGAGAGACATCAATCTGATGGATGGACCACTCGGTGGATAAAGAACTGGCTGGGTGGCCACACACAAATAGCTGTGGTCAATGGCTCAATGTCCAGCTGGAAAACTGTAATGAGTAGTGTCCCTCAGGGGTCAGTGTTGGGACCGGTCTTGTTCAACATCTTTGTCGCTGACATGGAGAGTGGGATTGAGTGCACCCTCAGCAAGTTTGCCGATGACACCAAGCTGTGTGGTTTGGTTGATACGCTGGAGGGAAGGAATGCCATCCAGAGGGACCTGGACACGCTTGTGAGGTGGGCTGATGCCAACCTCATGAAGTTTAATCATGCCAAGTGCAAGGTCCTACACCTGGGTCAGAGCAATCCCAGGCACAGCTACAGGCTGGGCAGAGAAGAGATTCAGAGCAGCCCCGCAGAGGACTTGGGGGTGCTGGTCAATGAGAAAATGAACATGAGCCAGCTTCAGTGTGTGCTCGCAGCCCAGAAAGCGAACCGTGTCCTGGGCTGCATCAAAAGGAGTGTGACCAGCAGGTTGAAGGAGGTGATCCTGCCCCTCTACTCTGCTCTCATGAGACCTCACTTGGAGTATTGTGTGCAGTTCTGGTGTCCTCAACATAAAAAGGACATGGAACTGTTGGAACAAGTCCAGAGGGGGCCACGAGGATGATCAGGGGACTGGAGCACCTCCCATATGAAGACAGGCTGAGAAAGTTGGGGCTGTTCAACCTGGAGAAAAGAAGGCTGCTTGGAGACCTCATAGCAGCCTTCCAGTATCTGAAGGGGGCCTGTAGGGGCGCTGGGGATGGACTCTTCATTAGGGACTGTAGTGATAGGACAAGGGGTAATGGGTTAAAACTTAAACAGGGGAAGTTTAGATTGGATATAAGGAGGATATTCTTCCCTGTTAGGGTGGTGAAGCAGTGGAATAGGTTGCCCAGGAAGGTTGTGAATGCTCCATCCCTGGCTGTGTTTAAGGCCAAGTTGGACGAGGCCTTGGGTAATATGGTTTAGTGCGAGGTGTCCCTGCCCTGGCAGGGGGATTGGTACTAGGTGATCTTAAGTTTCTTTCCAACCCTAACTGTTCTATGATTCTATATATCTCATCATATATACAAGATAAGATACATATATATTTGTATCTTTGGGTGCTCTTCCTATATCTTTGTATGCTATCTGTTAGGCTTCAACCACTCTGACAGCTTCAGGCCACAGACAGAGCACCTAGGCCCCTTTACTAAAGGCTAGTACTAATAAAGGAGAAGAAATCTGATTATTGAAATGGACTGATTGGGGATGTCTTAAATATTATTCACATGGCTTAAATATGAAGTGAGATCTGAGGTGTGAGGGAGGCATTTTGGCCAAAAACTTCATTTCAGCAATTGCAAGAAGGCGACTTAATTTTAGAAGACAGTCCCTGTTGTGCATGGTAGAAAAGATGAAAGTCAAAACGAAGTTGTTTTGTTTCTTTTTCACCTGTACTTGAACATCTTTCTTTCTATAGCATATCTATTTTATTGCCTATCAAGGAATCACTGTATTGTTTTTAAGCTATAAGTTATGAACAGATAATCACTGTCCATGTAATTGTATCAAGTGAACACTAAAGGGCATGATACTCAAAACTTTAATATTCCACAATACATTTAAGAAGGTGAATTTTACTTCTTGCAGCTCCTTTTACAGCATGTGTACATACTTGGCCTATGTGCCTGTGTATATGTGTGTCACTGTACATCCTGCGGTGGACTGGTAAGGAGGGCCAGCTGCTATTTCAACCACATTTTTAAAAGACTTTCAGATTTGGGCTACAGGATAAATGGAGAGACAGGTTTCTGAATTCTCCTTCAGCATTTCTGCTTGAATGCGTGTGTGTCAATGTATGTGTGTATAGGTGCAACACTGGGGGAGGACTAAGGGAAACCTGCCCTGATTATATCTGAAGAAAATAATTGCAGCATTGCATCTGTTGCTCAAACACATGACAGTTGAAATGATAGCTAAGAGCAAATGCTCTTGGCTCAGAGAGATACCATGAAGAATCTATGAAGCAATCTTTGTGTGAGAAGGCAGCTTTCCCTTATACATTACTCATCACTGTAGCTTTGGGGGGTTGTGGCAGTCAAGAGAGTTGTCTTGTGTGAAAATAATGTGTACAGTGCTCTTGGAGATGTTTTAAATAACAGTTTTGTTAAAAAAAATAAAAAGGCAATCAAGTAACCAAAGCCTGCAGCTGTTGCAGAGAACTTATATTGTTTGTTGATAAATCTGTGAATCCAGAAAGGGATATTCTAGGAATCATGTGGAATTAGGACTGATGAAGGCACAGCCTAAACCACTGTTTTCTCTGCACTTTTCTAAACCCAGGTCCTATTTAATTCTTAAACCGTTTAATATGGTGGTTGTCTGCTTGTGGATGTGCACTATATCCAGCTCTGTAGTGTGTGTGTATACCATTTATATCAAAGTAAATAGTCATGGATGGTAATTACCAATTTACTTTTAATTTCAGAATTGATTAGATTGGCATCACTGCCACAGAAAATTCCATCCTTAAAGCCAGAACCCCAAATAAATACTGAATAGCTATATCCATGGGTACTGCTTGCCCCACTGAGACAACAGTTTGCCTAACTAGTGGCAAAGCAAGAGAGATCAGGACAGGGAAACAGTAACTGTAAAGAGCACGGTGGCAAAAGAACTCTGGGTTCTTGCATACCTAAACACTGGGGGTTGGTGTTGTTTATTTTGGGGTTGGGTTTTTTTTTCTTCTTTTTTGTTTTTTTTTTCTTTTTTCCCTCCCATTTTCAGATTAATTATGCACAGGAAAGTTTAACTTTGTCTTGTTAAGTTCTCTGCCATACAAACCATGAGTTCTAATTAAAAACTCTAGGATATGTTTTTCTGACTCTGGAAGTTTTGGGGATTTCTGCTGAAGTTTTTGTCACATTAAAAACAGATGTTTTCATGTGGTTTGTTCTTATTCTTGTGGTTATTTAGAATGCTTGACTGGAGTTTCATATGCAAAGAGCAGGTTAAAGAACTGGGTTTTTTTGCTTAAGATGCACAACTGCTAGGTAAGTTTTCTGGAGTGGATCTGCATGTCGCCAACAGCAGGAAATGTAAAGATGACCTTTTTAGGCACTCAACCAGGTGAGAACAACATCTAATTTTCTTTTACTCAGGTTTTGGTTGGTTGGTGTTGGATTGTTTTAATTTGTTTGGGGTTTTTTTGTTTTTCAGAATTAGTGGCCTAGTTTACAGGTTCATTTGTAAATACACTGATGTTTTCACAAAACCATGAATCTATATAGTTAAAAATGCCTTTGTTAGAACCACTATGAACATTTCAAAGATATTCTTTTACAGAAGTTTTTATTTAGATATGGATTTATATAAATAATAAAACTGTGCATAACGATTATTTTAGTACTGCCCACCACTTTTTAAAATAAAAAGTTATTTATGTGTTGGTTCTTTAAATCATTTGAAGAATTTTTTTATCTGGTAATGCTTAAACAGTTTTTCCAGTAATCCCAGGTAGCCTTGGCTCACCTTACCATGGGGTCAGTTTCATTTCCTAAGTTGCAAGTGATAGAACAAATGTAAATGTCCTCCAGTTGTGCCAGGGGAGGTTGGGTTGGATTTAGGAAAAAGTTCTTCATTGGAAAGATTTGTCAAGCACTGGAACAGGCTCTCCAGGGTAGTAATGGAGTCACCATTCCTGGGGGTATTTAAAAACTGCGTAGATATGGTGCTTAGGGACATGGTTTAGTGGTGGACTTGGCCGTGTTAGGTTTACGGTTGGACTTGATTCTTTTAAGGGTATTTTCCAATCTAAACGATTCTGTAATCTATGAATCTGTGATTTAGTTTAGTACTTGGAGACATTATTAAGATTTGAGAAATTAGAGGTGAAAGAAATTTTAACAGAGAGATTTAGATTTACTTTTCTCTTGTGATGATTTCAACAGTGCTCCTGCACATTTAAAATAACAGTTTCTTCACCACCATAAATGTGAATGCTGGGTATTCCTGGTGTGGAGCTTATTCTGACTGTGGTAAAGATATTCTAGAGGCACTTTGTTCTTGTTTGTTAGAAGTTAAGTCTTGAAATCTCAACCAGTTTGTGAGTCATATGCTTAAAACACCCAGAGCCCTGCTACCTACTTTTCTGTCAGCTTGGGTTGCCATACTTTCTCAGATGTTGTTAGCTCATCTTCCCACTGGCCTTAGTAATCCCTGCTAGTACTGCTTCTCCTTGAAGCTGTCTTCTTTGCTTATGTCAGAAACTTCTTGATATTTATCTTCACAGATTCTGTGAATAGAGAAAAGCAGAGGCTTTAATTAAAATTTTCTGACCATTATATACATATATATACACACAAACATATATATGTATATATACACACATATATATGTATATGTATTTGTGAATGTTGCATTCATCTGCCTATCCAGAAAACTCTGGGTGGTTTCTTTTGAAGCAACTATTGAAAGCCTATGAAACAAGAGGAAATATTTAGTTAAGATTACTTTATTTCCTCCTTGATAAACTTTTCTCTACCCACTGTAATCCGGCAGGATTTGCCACCCATTCAGAAGGATTCCTTTATCCACCTGTAAAGTGGTTTAATTCTTCAAGATTCCCTAAAGCAGGTCTCTTTAGTGTGTAGCATATCCTTTTTTTATACTTTAGAGCAGGGTACCTGTAACTGTTGCAAAATCATTTTGATAGAAGCTGTTTACTGGGAGTTGTGTAAAATGCACCACCATTAAAGATAGCATAGAATCACAGAATGATTTGAGTTGGAAAGGACCTTAAAGCTCATCTAGTTCCAACCCCCTGCCATGGGCAGGAACACCTTCTACTAGACCAGATTGTTCAAAGCCCCATCCAACCTGGCCTTAGATGATCGTGGTTTATAATCTGCATTTACTGATGACATTTTTTTTACCACCTCAAGTTGCCTGATGGGATTGTAGTGGCCCTTTACACCTGGTTTGAAAAAGAAAAAGCTAAAATAGAAGAGGACAATAGCTGCTCTTCTGGAGCGATAGCTGGAGACCAGGTGAGATATCCAAAGGAGTCTAATGAGGCTTGTGTGTAAATAGTGAGCTCTCATTTTAAGTTACATCACTGAGTAAGTATGGAGAGAAACCACTGCTAGGTTTTGACTTGCTGTTTCTTGTTTCCCTAGAAAAGGAACTTGAATGTGGTGGTGGTTTTGTTTTGGTTTTGTTTTGTTGGCTTTTTTTTTTAATTGAATATTTGTGTTTTGTCAGGATCTTTTGTACTATCACTGTGATGTATGATATAAAAAGAAAACTTTTTCCTTAGACTTGGAGACGAAACTTGATGTTTCTAACAACATTAGTAGCTGTGCATGTTCTGAAGATCAAGATACATATGCTACAAGTGACTTCAGCATTTCTGACAGAGAGCCACCTCATACACAGGTAAAAATCAGGTTGCAAGCTACTCTCAAAATGAGAAACAAAGGACCTACTGGAGAACAGCTTGACGTGATTATCTTTTTGATAGATTTCAGATCATTTATAGCAGTGAATTGAGTTCAATGAAATGGAAACAGCAGGAAAGAGACACTTTAATTTTCACTTTTGACTAAATCCGATCCAGTTTCCAGCATTAACTATTGTTATATGGAATTTGAAGATTTAGATCATGACTCAGAGAGGAGGAAAGTTCTGTTTAGTAACTCTTGGCACAAAGCTAAATGTTTACAGATGATCCTTGAGTGTAGGTGCCTAGGAAGTTCCCATCCGCAAACACAATCTCATCCCAGGTTTCCAGGCAGCCTGCTTACCAGATGCTTACCAAGCGATTTACTGAGGCATAAGAAAGAAAATATAGAAACTTTTTAAAATCAGAAACAGAAAACCATGTAACTGCTACTGAAACTGTGTAAGATATATGTAAACAATAAATTACAAGTGTGCTCTAATTTCATATCGAACATATCCAGCCAAGGCAACAACTGGACTACTTTGTTATTTAGAGTGGAAATACAAATTAAAGAGTGCTCCTCAGGATAACTGCATTACGTAGTTAATCAATATAAAACATAGCTACTTCCTCTGAATACATTCTTTGATTTATTTTTTAAATTAAATAATAACCTAGACATAGAGAAGAAGATCCTACTAGAAGTATACGAACTTTTCCCAGCATACATGACTTTCCAAAACCTAGGAATAATTAAATATGCATCTTCCAAATACTTTGCACATTCACAGTAAAATATTTTTTTAGTAAATATTAGGCTGAAAAAAGTAGGGAAAAAGGCAAAAGATGATGTTACATGTGGATGCTTATTACAACACAGGACGTTTGTTGTCTTAAACCAAAAGCATGACATAATCAAACCAATGCCTTTGTTCCTAGATTCAAAGGCAAATGAATAAAAGGATTTTTTCCCAGTACTGTTCCAACTGATTACTTGGAATAAGAAGTAACAATTAATTAATATGATTGTAATTTATACAAACAGTCATGTAATTAAGTCTGCAATTAGGCCTGATTTTTAGACTAAATGAGCACGTGATTCCTATTATATTCTAAGGAAGAAAAATTATCTGGAGGAACAATACATGCCAACAGGTGAGACAGAAGGTTACAGAATGAGACCAGAGGGTTATGGAGTTTCCAAGAAGAGGAACATATGTCAGAGATTAAAGATGGGTATGGAAAATGGAGATGCAAGTCAACTGGCTGGCATTGTAAGAAGCAGAGCAGGTCTGGTGGATGGAGGAAGAAGTGAACTGTCCAGTGACTCACAGCCAACCCTTCTGTATTTCAGGAACTGCTCAGTGAGCTCCAGAACAGAGCACTTACATTCCATGCCTCTTTTGCATCACGGGTTTTTATCCACGATAAAAGTTAACATTTATACAGCCATTGTGAGTATATAGTGCAACAAGTATTTTAGATTTCTTATGTGGACTCTCTTGAGTGCATGTGTGATCGGCAGGACAGAAATAGAGTTACTGAATGGCACGTCTGGCCTAGTTGAAGCATCCAGCAAGGACAGTTTGCTCCTGGGATGCCAGCCAGGTGCTTTTTCAGTTTGTGTTGTTGGAAAACAATGCCTCCTTGACTACAATGTAGTTAGTAAAAATAAAACCATTTCAGTTCTGAAGAAAATAGCTCTAATTAACCACATCTTTTCTGCTCCATAAAGTGGTGTCACTGTGTGAGTGCTGTGGCTCTCTGTTGTTACATTGTAGAGCATCATGAGAGGTTATTCTGACATGGCTCAGAGGAAGATGGTGACTTCTTAAGTGCAGATACTCAGTCTAGACTGAATGGTTTGTTATTTTGCAGTTTTCTTTTTTCTTCACTGCTGCTGCTGCACTTCAGCTGTTTTGTTGCTTTGTGTGTAATGCATGAGGCTTAAGTATTGTATTGTGCAAATGGTAACTTCCACCAGGAATCAGTGGAGGTCTTCCTAAGATGCCTTGTCCTCTGAACACTGCCATAAACGTATGCTATTCATTCCAGATGTTATGAGCCTGTTTCTGTGGGGAAATCAACAGATATACAAATACAAATTCCAAAGCATTTTGATTAAGTCCCAGAAGAATCAGGCCACAATTTTGTGCCTTAAACATACTCCAGACGTACAAGCACTTTGCCTGTATCATTTGGATGAAATGTTTTAGAAAATTATGAGCAGTAAGGGTTTATTAAGCCTATGTACATGTGGGATGTGGTAAGATTCCTCAGTTTCTCTCAGTCTAAAGGAGTATAATTTTGTCTTCCACGCCACTCTGAGGTGATTGCAGCATGGGACATCACCTCCACATGTGGAGGACAAACCTGCAATGGCAGATACACTGCTTTCTCTAATACACAGTTATGCATAGTTTAAGAAGCAAAGATTCTCCCAGGTGAGCAGTTCTTGTACTTCTTTTAAATGAGCTATAGACAACAAAACCATGGTTTATTTTCATAGAATTACAGAATGGTTTGGGTTCAAGGAGAGCTCAAAGCTTATCCAGGTCCAACCCACTGCCCTGGGCAGGGACATCTTCCACTAGACCAGGTTGTTTTTCCAAGCACCGTTCAACCTGGCTTTGAACACTTCCATCATTCACCATTCCCTTCCCATTTTTAACAACTAGTGAACCTAAATGAGTTTCTGCTCACAGTATCACATGTTGATGCCACTACTAAATGCTAGCAACCATCTAACCTGACTTTCCTTTAACAGAAAAGATATCTGCTCCAGTGGTCTTGATGAAAAGTTGTTTGCTGTATATTCACCATGAGAGCACTGTACTGATTCTCTGCCTTTACTTTCCCTAACAATTTTATTCCATTCTGACATTTCACAGAGTCAAATCTGTCATCCAGACATCAGCATTGTATGGCAGGTTATTTTATAAATTTGCTATTGCTCTTTAGCTGGAGGGGAAAAAAACATCTGGATTTTACAGAGAAGACAATCTTTTCAGGTTTATTAGCAGTAGGGTGAGTACTTGAGAAGGAAAGATTTTACTCTATAATAACTAAATGTATGTTATTTTACGTCATCCCTAAGCATGATTAAACCCCAGAGTATCAGGCATTCTTTTCAGAGCTCTGAAAACAGTTGTAACTTTCCAGGCTGGGTTTCCACCCTGTTTGGTTTATCATGAATCTTCCAGGGTTTTAAGGATGTGTACCCTAGCATTCTGAGGTTAAAATATTCTATAGCACCTACTTCACCAAGCAAGTTCAGTTCAATATACCATAAAGTAAGCTTTATTTTCAAGAATGCATCGAAGACTGTGGAAGACTGTCTAAATCTGCCTGCATTAGAGACAAAAGGTAGAATGACATAGGAGGAAGAGAATGCCAAAGACTGATATAAAAAAAAATGCACACATTAACATACTGTGTTTCCCTATTAACAGCTGGAGTGATGCAGAACAGGATGGTTGGAAAATGAGAGCCATTTACAACTAAGTATGGGGATAGGTATCAGACACATCACTTACAAGTTCAAGTTCCAGTATGGGGATAAAAGGAAACAGGAGTCAAAACTTGTAACACAGCTGTCTCCTATATTTAAAAGAAGTTTTCTTATTATGTGACCTGCATTTTCCACAGGCATTTTTTTTTTATCTTCAGTAAGTAATAGAATAAGACATTTATTATCCTTAAACTTTAAGAAAGTCAGGATTTCCATCCCTGACATTTAGATCCACTGCCAGATCACAACAGCAACTATTATCTTTACAGCAGCACATTCATTTCCATGGCAGTGAATAAACTAAAGAAAAATGATCAGTGTATTAGAGAGAGGGTAAACACTGCTATTTCTTATTGAGAAAAGTTCTGCTTCATAACTAATAGACCTCATCTCTACTGTTTACTACAGTGTTACTGCATCTCACTGAGTCATTAATTACAGTTTGTTTTAAGAAAGGAAAATGATGTCATTTCTCTTTTCTCAGCAGCGGGATTATTCCAATATGCCACTACGTTTAGCAGCATGCTAGCAATTCCCAATTTCTAAGAATGGTATGATCTACAAGCAGCAGGGTCTTTGTAGTTTCCATAGACTCCAGAAGGATCAGAAGTTTGGTTTGCTGTGCCTGCTGGGTAAACACATAGTGGTCAACCACAGCGCTGTGACTGTTGATTACAATGAAAATAAGGCAAGAGCCGTCAACTTGGTCTCCTACCCAGGGGTCATCAAGTTTAGGGGTAGAAAGCCGGAACAAGGGGCACATTTCTGCTGAAAGCACAAAATAATCCTGTTGGGTGTGTTACTTGAAGCAAAGTCCTTACCTGGAGAAATAGCTCCATAATTATGCAAATTGTATAGCTATTCCTTATGAAGCTTCTCAGACTGTAGAAAGCCATTTGTTAAGAAAAGTGAATTACAGATATCAGACCATGGGTGTAGGCTACTTCCAAACAGACTATTTGGAAGTAGGTTATAGCCTTGTTTCTGGCCCTGTCTTCTGCTCCTGACTGGACTCCCTGGATGGACTCTGTACCTGGTTTATCACTTGCCTTGTCTGGGAGTGTTGATCAGTCCTTATTAACAGCATCTGGCTCTGCCCTCCATTTTTGGTTCCTGTGGGGGTGCTCTGGCCCTTGCTGCTTCCATAAATGAGTCACCTTTTTGGTGCAGCTTTTGAAGACCTCAATGCACTATAGCTTCTACATGCAACCTCTCTTGCTGCAACTTTACCAAGATGAAAATGTGTTCTCATTTCAAGATCAGCCTCTTTCAGTTCCAGTCTTTTCTTAATCTCAGTTTTTGTCTTTGTTTATTTAAGTTTATCTCAACTTGTGTTCAAGATTAATGTGTATTTTCATAAATACATTTTCCCAGCAGAATGTCAGCCTTCTATCTCATCTTTTATAGAAACTTCTTTACTTTTCAAAATCACTGTTGTATTCATTTCTTACATCCTGCTTTACTAGATGGGAAGTATAGTCTCAGAGATCTATTTATAACATACCCATCTTTTCACTTGACAAATGAGTTGTCATTTTTACCCTAATTGCCTGTGTGTACTTAGTGTTCTAGAACCAGTTTAATTTCATCTCAGCATTAGAACTCTGTTCTAGAAGCAGAGGTATAGTAAATTCAGGATGCTCTTACTTTCTGCCTTGCTAGGTTTTATGTTCAAAATTTTGTTTGAGAAATATTAGGCCACACAGAACTGGCCTAAATAAGAAGAAATAAACTGAGTTGCCAAGTGCACTATGCCTGGAAAAAGGCAAAATACATCTGAAATAATTTTTGGGGCATTACAGCAGGAGTTCATTCTGAGTGACCAGTTTCCAACCTTTATCAGATTCTACAAACTTCTGACTTATTGATTGACACGGCACAGGGCGCACCTACATCTCCACTGAAGTGGGGGGTTGAATCCCTGAATCCTGAATCTGTGGGATCTCTGCAAATATCCTATCTCTCTCTCGCTCACCTTCATGAATGCTATGCTGCCTGCTTACTTCCTCCTGTAATTCCTTGGCCTGTGGATGTAGCTCATCATCAACACCACACCTCCTGCAGAAGAGAGTCAGCCCCAGCTTCATGAAGAAGCACCAGGCACTCCCTGCAACCTAAGACCTGCAGAGCTACCTCTATTGTCAGAAGGTCTGTCTGGGTGGACAATGAACAATATACAATATACATTTACAGTAATTTAGTTGGTAGACTGCACAGCTTTGCTGTAGTAGAGGTTAATGTGCTTTATGGTGACTGCAGTTTTATAATGTCAGATTCACTTGGTAATCAGCCAGCTAAATAATTAAGCTGGGAAAATAATACATAGAAGGTTTAATACGAGTTCTTGCACTTTCAGTAGAACAAGTGTACCTATTAGTGTTCACAAAACTTGCAGGTGACCCATTAGGAAGACCAGGGTCTCCCAGGTGATGTTTGCTTTGTCTTATTCAGCCCCAGTGCCTTATCCTCTGCTTTCCTTTTGCCATGGTGTCGTGGCTTAACCCACAGCCAGACAGCTTGTTACCCACTCCCCCCCTTCTTGCCCTCCCCCTACTCCTGGGGGAACGGAGAGGAGAATCAAAAAGAATGCAACTCCCACGGGTTGAGATAAGAACAGTTTAGTAACTAAGGTATAACACAAATCACTACTGCTGCCACCAATAATAGTAATGATAAAGGAAATAACAAGGGAAGAGAATACAACACCCCATCACCAGGCGACCGATAACTTGCTCCCCCCAGCCCGACCAAGCACCGACCGATACCTCCTCCAACCCTGCAGTCCACTCAGTCCTTCCGGCTAACTCCCAGTTACATCCTGGGCATGACGTGCTGTGGTATGGAATACCTCTTTGGTCAGTTTGGGTCAGGTGTCCTGTCTCTGCTTCCTCCCGGCTCCCCTCCTCCCTGGCAGAGCATGAGGCCCACAAAGTCCTTGGCCAAACCAAAACATCATTGTTTTTCAGCTCTGTTCCCAGCTGAAAGTCAAAACACAGCCCTGCACCAGCTACCAAGAAAGAGAAAAATGACTGCCACTGCTAAACCCAGGACACATGGTCTTGGTTTATTTTCTTGATCTCTCTTTTCCTTCCTCTTCCCCTTAGTGTGTCTCATTTTCATTCTTTTCTTTCCTTGTTCTTCAATTTTACCTCCTTCCACACTCACATCCACTGGTTCTCCCATCCCTCTGGAAAATCTCACAATTTTCCATTCTCATATTCTTCTGTTTTCATTTTTTAAGTCTCTTTTCTCACTCTTATTTTAGACCTCATCTTTGCCAATAGTCATGTGCTGCCTATTCAGATTTTTGGTATGAAATATGAGAGGATTTGAATGGAACCAAGTGATCTTTCACTG